CCTCTGGTAACCATTATTGTACTAACTACTTTTTTTTTTTTTTAAACACACAAAGATTAAATCCTTATTGCAAAAATGAACTCTTAAAAATGAATTAGAAAAATCTAAGCAGAGACTTGTTTAAGGACATGAGCAGATAAATCACACACCCCAAAGAAATACACGTGGTTAATAAGTACATTCCAGAATCCGGTTGCAGGCAGGGGCAGGGCTGGCCTGGCCCCGTCTGAGGATGCCGGGCACTGGCTCGCTCCATTGCCAGCCTGGATGTGCAGTAGGGGCAGGGCTGAGGCCCAAGGCCCCTGCCTCAGGACCCCTCAGGGCTGGCTCCGTTGCTGGTGTTGCTTTTCTTTTGGGCATTCCACACCTCCACTCACGGAGTTATGGCTCATTCACTCACTCCTTCCCCCGCCACAGTATAAATAAGCCCCCTGAGAGCCTGGGCTCTCTGTCCACTTGTGAATATCGTCTTCTAGAACAATATCTGACACATAATAGGTGCTCAGTATGATACTGGCTGAATGCATCAACGTATTAAACACCCATAATGCTTTCACCCTTATGTACAGCACAGAAATGAAGCACACAGTTCTTGCTTGGTGAGGGGCAGAGGGAGAGAGATGGGCGATCAGCTGTTCTCATGAAACACTGCCACCTTTAGTGACACCCTCAACACACACCCATTCCACTCTCCACCCCCTCACACCACAAGGCTTTTTCTATGCTACACACTCTGCTGAAATTTCTTTTTTCCCAATCTCTGCTTAATGAAACCTTACATGCTATTTAAGGCCCTGCTCAAACACCACCTTTTCTAAAGGGCCCTTCCAGAGTTCTTTGAAAACACTTTCTCTGGCATCTATTCCTCCACTGGTTGAAAACACTTTCTCTGGCCTCTATTCCTCCACTGAACTTTATTTCTTCGTTATAGTACTTATGGTGGCATGCTTTATATTAGAATGGCTCACACATGTGCATAACTCTCCTTCTATATTTCAAATCTCTGGAGGGCAGGATCTAATTTCAGCTGGGCTGGGAGGGTGGGGAATGTTNTATTTCAAATCTCTGGAGGGCAGGATCTAATTTCAGCTGGGCTGGGAGGGTGGGGAATGTTCTGGAAATTGTGCAGACTTTGTAATGAGATATGCACAGGTTGGATTCCTGAATTTAACACTTAGGAACTGTGAGTTTGGGAGAGTTATTTAAATGTCTCTGAGTCCCAAGGTGCTCATCTGTTAAATGGGATAGCTATGCCCACTTTGTGGAATACTCCTTTATTAATACCTACTTTGGACTGGATTCTTTGGCTAGTACAAAGAAAACAGAAAATTTTAAAGCCAAGCACATAGTAGATGCTCAATAAATACCAGTCATGTGACCCTTATATTATTCCAAGTCTCCAGCACTGTTATTGCTAATATGGTCTTGTGAATACAATGGGAGTCACAGTGCCTGTCATCATATCTCATGTAACAACATTTGGGTAACATATGTGCTTTTCCTTGTTTTAGCCCAACAAAATATCCATTTCTATTAAAATGCACTTTACAGAAACTTTCATTTTCATTTTTAGTGCTCTGTGGATTACTGTAATTTTCTAAGTCAACAGAGACATTTTCCGACTTCTTCCATAAAGCACTCATCTCTACTTGCTGAAATATAGATTGTATCACAGACCACAACAACAAAGCAGATTCAAATACAGCACCCACATACATCCACTGCCCTGCCAAGACAACGTGGCAGCATGAGAGCTCTTAACCAGAAGCCAGAAGATGGGAGTCTAGCCTGATCTACCACTCAGGTTATGATCTGTAGAAAGGAGTTGGATTAGGGCAGGGTTTCTCAACTTTTGCGCCATTGACATAGTGGGTCCGATATTTTTTGTTGTGGGGGCTGCCCCCTGTGTTGCAGGATTGTTAGCAGCATCCCCAGTAGCACCCCNTACCACTCAGGTTATGATCTGTAGAAAGGAGTTGGATTAGGGCAGGGTTTCTCAACTTTTGTGCCATTGACATAGTGGGTCCGATATTTTTTGTTGTGGGGGCTGCCCCCTGTGTTGCAGGATTGTTAGCAGCATCCCCAGTAGCACCCCTCAGTCATGACAATCAAAGATATCCCCACTTGTGAAGCATTGGACCAGATCTTTCAAATTTCAGCTAATTCTAGGACTGTAGGCTGTGGTCTCACTCTCCTACACTTGTGCATTCACACACAGACATACACACACATCCACATCCATGCTACTGTTCCATGTGTAGTCTTGTTCTACTTTTGAAAGCTGCAATGTTCTGAATCCCTGCTTCCTGGCAAACAGTCTAACAGCTCAGCATTCTCTCACGAGCTTCCACCCTGCACCCACTCACAATTGAAGCCATGTAAAAGGGCTGTTTGGATGACATGCTGTGGTGTCACTGTGTTGTAGCTCACTACTGGGATCTCTGAACAATTGCCTCCATCCCCTGCTTGTCATTCAGGTGGGCTCTGGCAGACAGTTTAGGCTGCTGTAGCTGTTAACAGTTTTGCACTCCACATGTAGGGTTTTGTTTTAGGATCTGAATAAAACTTCAGGCCACAGCTTTCACCAGCCCACTCCCCTGCTCGTGTGCCTTTCTCCTTTGCCCCTGACAGCTGGGGCTTGCAGCAACAAGTGGATTTTTGTATCATCTCATGATAAAATGCTGCAACTGGATAACAGAAGGCAATATCCAACTGGGCAGGAAACCGACATCTTTCTTTGATTTTTTCTTTCTTAGCTTCACTTTACCTTCCATATTCAGGTGGAAAGAGTAGACAAATAAGATATTATACTTAATCATGAATATGTATAGTCTTACAGTTGACACAGTGTTTGTGTCCTCACCACATTTTTAAGTGGACATAAAAATCTGAGATATATAGAGGGGACATGACTGTCCATAGTCACGCAGCTAGCCAAGTGTAGAAACAGTTTTCTAAAGGTTCTTGCCAGATGAAGGCTCACAGCCCAATGAACAAGACAGACATAGAAACAAGTATAATACAAAATAATAAGTGCTAACACACAGCTACAGAAAATGAGCAATTGGAGCTGAGTGGAAGAAAAAACTAACACTTTTTTAAAGGAATAGAAAAAGGAAGTGACTCTTGAGGACATGACCTCCATTGGCTACTGAAGGATGGACAACACTTTTCTGTGAACAGATACCTCCCTAGCAGGGAGTTAGTTGACAATATCCATGTCAACATGTATCAACATCCTTATCCTCATCACCATTCATGCTATTTATTGAGCACTTAGTACATGCTAAGCACTGCAGGGAGCACTTCATTTAAACTATGTCATTTACTTGTCACTCTAGTTCTGGGTGTAGGTGCTATTGTTAATCACATTTTACAGATGAGCAAACTAAGACTCAGAGGAGCTGAACAACTTGCCTGAAATAATATTGTTTATAACCAATGCAACCTGGATTCAAAGATCCTGTTCAGTATAGAGTAAGATAGCTTTTTCAGAATAAGTGGGGTTGGGGATGTAAACAGTACAGTGTTAAGCTAGTAAGTAAACTGACGAAGAGATGATATCAAAACTTGTAAATTTTGCTTAGGAAATTGGCATGGCCTTGGGCTTTCTCTTCTGTCCTCCACTCCAGGAACTTTTACATAAGCCATCCCTTAGTCTCAAGCATTTCTCCAACAGGAAAAGAAGTGTGTAAGACCGTGCTCAGCCCCTGGGCCTTTAGTTCCCTTCTGCACATCAGGGAACCTTGAGGCTCAGAGGCACCAACAGGTGAATTCTCTGGTCACGTTTCCTTGGGTTTGGGAGACATTCCAATGGGCATCGTAAAAGTGGATTCTAACAAGCTTCATGAACTCTTCATGTCTAAAGGTATCCAGCCCAGATAGTCATGATAATCCATCATAAGACTTTGTGCATTCACCTGATCATGAAAAAGCAAAGCCTGTGCTCATGCCTGTGTGAGAGGAGAAGAGAAAGAAATTTTTGTTTATTGAGTCCCTGTCATGAGAGGCAGATGGTTTGTGAAGAAAATAGGTGGGACAGACACTTGAGTTTTATTTCCATATCGCTTACTGCCTGTATGAG